GCTTCACCGTACAAGATGGTAGGAGTTCAACCATAGTTCTTATACTGCATATTGTTGTTTTCAGATCAGTCATCCTGAGGATCAAATTCAGCGTGCCAAATTGGTGAAGAAAAAAGAAAATTTTAAGCATTGACTGTTCCTTTCAATAAACCACAGACATCAGCAATACACCTATCCCAGCTCTCCTTATATATACATATAAATTTTGCTTTTCATTAAAAAAACACAAAATAACAAAAACAAATACATAAACAAAACAGCATAGAGAGCAATAAAAATGCTTATTTGTGGGCTATAGTAAAAATTGGATTTATAAACTAGATTAAAATAAGAACTATTCTAAACCAAAGTCTGGTGATACATAAGCAATGCTCATATATAAACTGAACTTAGAGTTAAAAGAGAGGACAAGAAGAAAGAGATCATACCTACATGTGTCAGCAGAGGAAATCAGTAACAACCACTTTGAAAATCTATCCAGTCTCTTTATTCTTGAGTATATATAGTCAGCAAAGTGAGGTAGGATAGAAGAAATACAGATAGGTCGAAAAGAGATAAGGATCCTAACTCCTAAATTCCAAAGAGTAAAAAAAGATACTATGTCTATAAATTTGACCTTTGTTGATACTATAAATCCACAAATTCTAAAGACTTCCACTCTCAAAGAAACAGTACTATTAATAAGGTACCATATCTCTAAACTTCAAACTGATATGAATAGTTCTTATTTTAATCTAGTTTATAAATCCAGTTTTTACTATAAACCCACTAATAAGCAACCTGACCCTAAGAAAACAGACACTAGTAAATGATGAATACTTCAAAAAATAAGCATCCTATATCATGCATCTTGAGGACACCCCAAGACTGACCACATAAATACCCCCAGCCCCAGACCATAGTGTGTTTCACCCCTCAAGCATCCGCCCAGTTTATGAATGTGTACTTTTTTGATTCTGCTTAATAGATTTACCTTGGCCTCTTTTCTGCAGTGTTTTTCTGCATTGCTCTTCTGCAGTGATATGTCATAAACCTGCCCGGAGCCAAACACAGTGGCACAAACCTGTGATCCCAGTACTCTGGGAGACCAAGGCAGGGAGATCATAAGTTCAAGACCAACCTGGGCCATTTAGCAAGACCTTATATCAAAATAAAAAATAAAAGAGGCTGGGGTTATAGCTCAGTGATGGAGCATTTGCCTAACATGCATGGAGCTCTGGGTTTAATCCATAGTGCAAAACCAAATTTCAATAGTGAGATTAGAGAAAATTGAAAAAATAATAAATGAAAAGAAATTTCCCAGAAAATGAAATAAAGCCCAAGAAATAGAAAATAGGAGAAATAATGAATATGAAAAACCACTCTAGAAGGCTGATATCCAAGCACTGTAATAGGAGGTTGGCAAAGAGAGAATGTAGAGAGCAAAGGAAAGGCATGATTAAGTATAGAGCAATAATTCTTACAATGACATAAGTCCTTAGTTTGAAAGAGTCTTAGTTTGAAAGTGCCTGGTATAATTTTTTTTAAAAGAGACCCAGATCTAGATGAACTAAAGTGAAACTTCAAAATATCATGGATCAAGAGAAGCCTCTAAAACCTAGGAAAGTAAGAAACAAGTCACCAGCAAGGAACATCTGGCATCAAACCCGAAATGTCTTAGAAATTTTGCTTCCTACACTATTTCTGCAGAAGGAAGATGTGAAATGTGATCTATAGGAAACAGTGGAACTCCTGCCAGCATTTTGTGAAAGAGACTCCGGTTCTCAGCTATTTAAGCAGCCTAAATACATCTAGTTCACATTAGAGCAAAGCCCAAGTGAACTTCCACAAGAATGCCTTCAGTAATGGAAGCAATAGAGAAAAAAAAAAACAACAAGCTAAATTAAATATTAGTTATATAGTGAAGAAAGTATGTGTTTCTTTTCTCAAAACCAAAAAAAAAAAAAAACAAACCCAAAAAACAAAAAACCCAATTACAAATACTATGCCAGCCATGGTGACTCATGTCTGTAATCCTAACATTCAAACGGCTGAGGCAGGAGGATCACCAAAAGTTCAAGGCCAGTTTGGGCTACATAGTGAGTTAAAGCTAGCCTGAACTACATAATGAGACCCTATCTCTGAGAAAGAAAAACCTGATATTTTTGGTAAACTGATGACATTAATAGCTGTTTAATGGTTGCCCTGTCTCTACACCCTTTGGCAGGTTCTCCACCAACATCTCCACTCTGGACTTGTCTATGGATCTTGATATATCCAGTAACAAACCATGCAAGATGAAAACATGAAGAGATCCTTGCAAAATTTCTACTTCTTCTTTAAGCCTTGCTACCCCCATAAGAACAGTCATAGGTTAATATATCAGAAGGATATGAAAAAAATGAGGAAAACTAAGCCATCCAAGGCAAGATAACCCCAGACAATTCTAGACTGACCAGGCTCTCGGCTGAATTCAGCACCGATCACAGACATGGGAGTAAATCTGTAGGATACCAGCCACACATAATCAGATCCACAAAATCATTCAGCTGACCTGCGTACTCCTGAGCTGTAACAAATCATTGTTTCAGACCACTAAATTTGGTAGTGGTCTATTATGCCATAATAATGAACTGATGGAGGGGCTGGGGATTTAGCTCAGTGGCACAGCGCCTGCCTGGCAAGCTCAAGGTCATGAGTTCGATTGCTGGTACTGGAAAAAAACAGCAACAAAAAAATGAACTGATGGAGAAATAAAAGGGAATATTTGAGTTGGATGCTAAAAATATGCTTGAAATGATAAAAAGGTCATGACATTGGTCCTCTTGTCAAGGAAAAGTACTTTTGTCATTCCACTTGAGTCTGTTGGGGGCAGTAGTTGCATCATCATAATAAACTCTCTTCCTTGGATTTCAACATTTAGGAATAATTTAAAGATAAAACCCAAAAGACTCAGTAATGGCTACAGAAAAGAATGTAATTATTGTCAACCTAAGAAATGTAAATGTCAAAGGACAGCTGAGAAACCTTGGAAGATGAGCAGGGGACTGGAGAAGAGGAGGAAGGAGACAGAGCAAGACAGCGTATTCATCTTAATGGTAGATTCCAAAGCCATCACCAGAAGGCTGGAACAAACACAAGTTTCAATTAGTGACTGATGATGGAAAGGGAATGGGGGAGGGATACAAAAGGTATACCAGATGAATACTGCTGGCCTTCTGTTTCTTTAGAATGAGAATTTCATTCTTGTTTTTTAAATTTTAGATATAAAATACATGCACTGATGTGCACGAAGTGCAGAATTTTAAGTGAACCTAGCTCAAAAGTTTTACATGGGTATAGCAGTGTGGCCATTCCAAGACTGAAATGTAGAACATTGTCAGCACCTCAAAAAGTTCCCCTATACCCCTTCCCCACCAATGTATATCCACTCAGATGTAATTTCTATTCTTGCAATCATTGTTGTTCTGTTTTGCAGTGTGTGTATAGCAGTGTGGCCATCCCAAGACGGAAATGTAGAACATTGTCTGCACCCCAGAAAATTCCCTCATACCCCTTCCCCACCAATCCACATCCTCTCAGATGTAACTTCTATTCTCACAATCATTGTTCTGTTTTGCCTGTTTCTGATCTTCAAGTAAGTGAAGTATGTACTTTTTTAAACATAATAAAATTCACTTACATTACTCTAGTTATTTTTATTGCAGCGTGATATCCCATTATATGACTGTATCAGAGTTTATCGACTTTTCTTTGGTGAACTTGTGGATTGTTTCTCATTTGGGGCTATTGTGAACAACAGTGCTGTGAACTTCCTATACAGTATTTGTCTATTGGTGTGAAGCTTATTCTTAATTCAGGTCTTTTTTACTTGCTGTTTTCTCAGCTTTGACCATGTTACATCCAGATATTTGTGTGGCCAGCTTCCTTTTACCATTTAGGTCTCTGCTGTCAGATGGTGGCTGGAGAGGAACAGATTGGGGCTATATCACTGAGGGGCTGACTGGTGCCTCATTCTTCTTATGGTCTCAGCCCCTCTATGTGGTATCTCTGCATACTAGTTTGAGCTTCCTCATTGCATGGCAGCTTCAGAACAAGTAAACTGTTTCCAAGCCAGCTGAAAATGTCAAGAGCAAATACTCTGACAAACAAGGGAAACCTCATTGGCTTTTATGGCCTAGCCTTGCAAATCACGGTTTTGCTGTTGCTATATTCTGTTGGTTACAGGTAAGTCACCAGCCAACCTAGATACCAGGATAAGAAAAATAAACTCTATGTCTTGGTAGCCAAGAGGCAAGTCTAGATGAGGATGTGAGATGGGATAGATTATTGCAGCCAATTTTTGGATAATGTTCTCAATCATTGTATCCTACACCCTATTTGTTTTCTCCAGAGTACTTTTTATTATTAGGCACTTATTTATTTGCTTTGATCAGTCATCTCCCTTTGCTAGAATATATGTTATAAAATGGAAGGAACTCTATTATTCTATCCCCTATTAGTAATACCCATTGTCTATATGTTTTGAGCACATTTTAAAAAATAAAACATTAATGTATAGTAGAAAAGCAATAGATACCTCAAGATAACAAAGCAAATAACAAAAGCGTAAACACATATTTAGAAATGTAGACTTTACCATTCAAAGAACTAAAACCAAAAATAATTGAAAGGGGTTACTGTTGGGTGCAAAATGGGGACAGGAAAGATGGGACAGAGTATTAGTGCTTTTCTGCACTAATACTTTCTAATATTTGGATATTAAAATTATGAAAAAAATTAATTTTATAGGTCATTGTAAACTGGGCATGGTGGCTCACATATGTAATCCTGATATTTGCTTTTGTTTGTTTGTTTTTATGGAACCAGGAATCAAACTCAGGACCTCATGCTGGCCAGGCAAGCACCATGCCACTGAGCTAAATCTCCGGCCCCCTGTAATCCTGATATTGAGGAGTCTGAGGCAGAAGGCTTGTGAGTTTGAGGCCAGTCTGGGGTACACAGTGAGATGATGTCTCAAAAAATCAAAACAACAACAACAGCAAAGTCATTGTAGAAAATATGGAAAAACTTGAAGACAATATAAAAGGAACAAAACATTATTTGTCATCTCACCACCTGAAGAGTGCTACTGTAAATATTTTGATCTATTTACTTCTTGATGATATCAGAGCATTCTATATCTTGCCTTTTCTTTTTCCTTGCATTAATTCTTTTTAAAAAAATCTTTATTTCCTTTGCATTAATTCTACTATGAAGATTTACTCTGGGCTAGAAATATTCCTGGCAAAGGTTAAAAATTCTGTTCCTATTTTTCCCATTTAGAGATGTAGATATGTACTTATGTCCTTTTTATTTTTATCTCTCCACCCCTGTAATCCACCCCAAATATTCTATTTAACCCACTCTGACCCCATTCCCATTCTTTCCTATTCAAGCTCTTCAGGAGCTCATCATTAATTCTTTTTCCTGAACCATGGGATAATATTGTGTGTGTGAGGGAGTTTTTTTCATTTTTTAGCAATTGCTGTATAACAAACTACTCAAAACTCAGTGACTTGAAATAATCACCATTTTATTATTTTCCACAACTCCACTGGCCAGAAATGTGAACAGGGTACAGCTCCCTATTTTCTGTTCCACATGATGTCTGCTGGAGCATAGTGTCCAACATATCTCATGCCACAGCTGGGATCACAGAAAGCCCGAGGAATGATGGGAACCATTGTATTGGGGTCATATGTGCTATCAATCGGGTTTCTGAATCCTACTCTGTGTGGTCTCAGAGCCTTCACTTGGTCATGTGGCCTCTCCAGTGGGGTAGCCTGCCTGACAAAGTGGTTCTGGGCATGCAGAGATTAGATTGGGAATTTGATCAGCACATGTTAAGGGCAAAGGACCACTAAGAAGTGCCAGTACTGGGAGCTACAACAGTAACAGACTACCACTGTGGCAGATAGACTTGAATTCAAATCCTCTCTTTTAAAATTTTTTTTCTTATTTTGAAGAAAATAGTACAAAAAAAAGAATAGCAAAATACAAACAAAACAAAGCAAGAACATTAAAAATGATATGGGGTTTCAAACCAAATGATAGGGATTAACAGTGGTTGTTGTAATACATATTGTTATCTTAAACAAAGTTGCTCAGATTACCAGATGTAAGAATAGGAGATTGATCAAACCATTAAAGGGGAATAAGAAAATAATAATTTAAAAGAACATTAGAGACAATACATAGTTTCACCGACAGGATTTTTAATTTATTAACTGCCTGGGCTTGGCTTAATCTTTTTTCCTTTCCATTCTTTTTTCTTCAGTCTTAAGGACTGAGCCCGAGGCCCTCACACTGAGCTACATTCCTGGACTTTTTTATTTTTTAAATTTAGATATAAGGTCTTCCTAGTTTCCAAGTTGTGCAGGTTGTACTCAAAATTCTGATCCCTTTAATTCAGGCTCCCAGAATGGTAGCAGGCAAATAGGCTGTCACCAGTCTCTTGGCTTAATTTCTTAATTTCTCTGAGCTGCTATTTCCTTGCTTATGCATAAAATTAGTAGGACGTAATTCCTCCCAGGCAAGAGCATTTTGTGCATTGAATTGTGAATTGTGCCTGCCACTGTTGCTGTGTGGAGTTCTGTGAAAGGGGCTGAAACAATGTAGGATGATGTACAAACTATAAACCTGACAGAATGTAAATTCCTGGCAACCTGAAAAATAATCTTCAGGTTGGCTTGGACTTTCAAGGAATCAGAAGATGAAGCCAATGAAGATTGGCTGGGGGTGTGTGCTAGTTTTAAGAAAAAAAGATATTATTGTATGATTGAGGCATGCAGAATTTCTTCTTTCTCTTTCATCTTGGCTTTTTTTTTCCTTCTCTTTATCAACTTTTGGACTTAACTTTAAGTTTACTCTTTCTCTTATCACTTATTAGGTAATTTCCTCCTCTAATAATTTTTATACTATCCAAAAAACCTAGAGCCTCAAGGAACCCTTCCTGTGTTCATCTACCTTCCTCTTGTGAAAATTTATTGTTCAAAATGTATGTATTCCTATTATAGCCCGCTGAAGTGGAGTCAGTAGCCCACTAAAGAGGGGTCATGACACTTGTGCCAAGAACTATCTCACAAAACAACCTGCCCTATCTTTAAGACTATTTTCACTTAGGAACTGATGGTAGAACTGCCAACTATGACCTCAGATATAGCTTTACATGGTAACTGCTGCTGCTCGCCAATCACAGTTCCCCTAAGCACACCAAATGCCAATTAAATTTCTTTCATTGTGTAGATTTTTCCTTTGTTCTCCAGACATATCAGAGGCCAACCTGGCCTGTGCATGGGTGAATGGGTTGCAATCCTTTTCTTTATACCCAAATAAAAGTTCCTTTACTGGACATTGGTACCTGTACTTTGCATCTGTCTTTGACACTCTCTAAAAGAGAAAGCTCCTTAAACCCAGTCCCCATAACTGATCATCACCTAAACCAGAAGAAAACAGAACTCACACCCCACAGGACGTCCCTAGAGCAGTGTCTTTCTTCCTGGCCTCCTGTCTCATCTCTTCACTATGAGTCCGGTCTCCATGGAGCCTCCCTCAAACAAAAGGGATTTGTGAGAAAGTGACCTTTACTCCAGTGAGAATCCCTCCACAAGCTGTGCTAATCTTCTTAGGCATTAATCTTTAGCATTGCTTTGTACTACCAGGGTGCCTCTAAGGGCAGCTATCTGAACCTTTATCAGCAAAATATTTTATACTGCTTTCTGCTTCTTTCCCTTGCTTTTATTATTACTTGTTTGATTTGAGCTGGGGCCTCTTTTTTTTTTTTTTTTAGTGTACGTTTGCAGTACGTATGATTACATTCATTGTAGGGATCGGTATATGAAATATTTCAATTCCCCTCCCCCTTTTGTTTTTCCAGCATCAGATTCTTTTATTTCCCCTATAAGACTTTATAAAGTTAATTGTCCTGTATATAGATTGAAAACCAGACTAATAGGCCGAAGAATATAAAACAAGTAAGACAATTGTACTAAGTCACAGTACACTTTTAGATACATTGTCTGCACCGGATTACAATATCTTTTTTTCCTATTATCAGTCATATATATGAAAGGGATGAGATAATGAGAGGGAGAGGGAGTTTTTTCACATAAAGGAAACCATGAGATATTTAAGCTTATGTGCTATGTGTCTGAATTAGTTCACTGAATATTATGGTCTCAAGATGCATCCATTTTCCTACAGATTGCTCAAGTTTATCCTTTATAGCACAGTAGTACTCCATTGTGTATAAATACCACATTTTAAAAATTCATTCATCTCTTGATGGGCATATGGGTTGTTTTCATGATTTAGCTATTATAAATTGTACTATTGTAAACATTGTATGCATATACCACTGTGGTATGATGTCTTTAACTCTTTTGGGAAGATATTTAGAGGGGGAATAGCTGAGTCAAATGGAATTTCTACTTTTAGCTTTTTCAAGAATCTCCATACTGATTTCTATAGTGGTTGTATCAGTTCAAGTCCCACCAACAATGAAGAAGTGTTCTTTTTTGAAAAAAAAAAATATTTTAAAATTTAATTTACTTAAAATTTTTTAGTTATTGGACATTTATATTTTTCCAGGTCTTTACTATTACAATAACAGTGGGTCCACTTCTAGAAGTGTATCCTAAGGAAGTAATGAAGTGTAGTATATTAGTGTTAAGTTTGGTTTGGTTCTCTTACCTTGGCTTACAAAAGTAAAATAATTAAAACTGCCAAGGTATTGTAGTTTGGCTAAAGAAATTGGATACAACCTTACAGTGGAATGTTACTTAGACAAATTATGTTGAGGTGCTTATTTTCTGATATGGAAAGATTTTTTTTTAATGAAGTTATTTTAGATTTATAGAAGTTATAAAAATAGTACAGAGAATTCCTATATATCCTCTACCCAGATTCCTTATTAATAAACTTTGTCATAACTCATGAATCGATACTGATATATCGTTGTTAGATTTCCCTAGTGTTTGCCTTGTCGCCTACCTCAGCAGGCCATCCATATGTCATTTCTCGTTGTGTTATCTTGTCTCCTTAGACTCCTCTAGACTGTCAGTTTCTTAGGCTTTCCTTGTTTCTTACGACCTTGACATGTTTGAGAAGTCCTACTCAGATGTTTCGTAGAGTGTCCCGTGAGTTTTTCTGGTGTTTCCCCCATGATCAGGTTGTGATCGTGTGTGTACAGGAAGATGACCCCAGAGGTGAGGTGTAAGTGTTGCCACGTCGTATCAGAGGCCTAGCCTTTCGCCGTGGCTCATCACTGTGAATGTTACGTTGGATCACTGGGCTGACGTGCTGTTTGTCAGGTTTCTCTGCTGGAAAATTACCACTCCTCTACCCACCTTTCTTAGTGCATGCTTTAGAAGTTGTCGCTGTGCTCAAGCCGCACGTAAGGGTGGGAAATAGTGCTGCCCTCCTGAGGGAGCAGGGTCAGCATGTTACCTGGAGTTCTGTACAGGAGATTTGTCCCTTCTTCCCCGTGAATTACTTCTTCATCAATCATTTATATCACGCAGACTTTTGGATCCTGTTTTGTACTTTGAGTTACAATCCAGTGGTGCTTAAATTGGCCAGGTTTAGCCACTGGGAGCTGTTTCACTTAGTTCCTGTGTCCTTTTGACATCTTCCAACATTTTTACTTCTTTGAGTACTTCCTTCCTTTGTAGAGCTGCTAGATGCTTCAGGCTTATCTTGTGCATTCTGTGCCCTGGCCCTGGAGTCCTGCTTGCTTTTTATGGACAGTTTATTCAAAACCGAGATTTGGGCCCTGGATTTGTTGCTGTTCCTGCTCAAAATATTTTAAGTGGGAAACACAGGGATATGTTGAAAGTGTTAAAAGTAGTCCTTTATGTGGTGGGATTATTTTGGGAGTTTTTTCCCTTTTAAAAAAATGTACAGGGGCTGGGGATTTAGCTCAGCGGCAAAAGCGCCTGCCTGGCAAGCGCAAGGTCGTGAGTTCGGTTCCCGGTACTGGAGAAAAACCAAAAAA